GACGGCAAGATCCCGTGTCACACATCTCTCTATTTTCGACGACTCCTGGAAACTTGATTAAAGAAGCTGAACAGATTGGAGAAGGATTTATTTGCGGAAGGGATAAGCCGTTTGATTTTGTGACTTTCTCCGTCAAGTACGGCTGTTGGACGAACAAGAGCGCTGAAATTGGGTGGAAGGAATCAGATATTCCCGCTCTTCATGTCGAGAGCGATATAAAGGGGGATAGCAGAGTTACTCACGTCTTGGTTGATACGAAAGTTTCCACTCGGTGGAGCCTGGGAATTAATACCGATGAAGTTGAAGACTTCCAGCTGAAAGGTATAAGTTCTGTCTGCCCTATCCAAAACTATAAGGTTTTGTCTCCCAAATTTGATCTTTTTCGACTGTTAAGAGTCCCATGTTGAAAATATAAGAGAGAACATATGGGTTTATAAGGTCATCTGTTAGACTGACTGATTGATTGGATTCAGTCTTTTAGTGTGGTTTGACCCCTATACATTATAGCCCAGTTGAGTGACATTGGTCCAATCTTAGATTATAACATCTACGTTTCTGTTTACCTCAACTCGATGCAGATGATTTTGAGGAGCTCATTTCACTTGGCGATAAGAGCAGTACAGATGGTTGGCACACCATTCAATTCGCCGGAGGGAAGAAAGCGCCAACCAAGTTCAGCTTGACTCTTTTCTGGCACAAAAACAACTCCCGTGCAAGAATCAATGAAGGATCTGAAGTGGAACCCGTCTTACTGAAACTGAGAACCGATGTAGACAGACAAACTCCAAAAACCGCAGAAATTCTCAAGAAGCTCCCTCCATGGTGTTCTCTGTTTGGAAAGTCCACATCGCCCTACACCTTAGCTTTCTTCAAGAGTTTGCCCGTCGCATTGTAGCAGACCATGCGTTAAGAATGGCCGATTCTCAGTTCCTCTGGTTCGCGCTTTTCACGTCTCAAAACAAGAAAGTGATGTTTAAAGAGAGAGGGAGAGGGCAAATCTTCTCTGGGAAAACAGGTGTGCAAGAAGGTCATCTAATAGGTTTTCTTATGGTTGATAGCTGACATGTAGAACATGCTTTAGATAAAGTGACGTTTGGACAACAGAGTTTTGGGCTGCATTTGGTACATAACTAAGCAACTGATGAAATTACCCTCTTGAATACAGTAAAAAAAAATTAAGGGCAAAATAGTAAAATATTTGAAGTACAACAGCTCAATCAAGGAGTACAACTCATTTCAGCGGGAATAAGTCTTGGATTTTTGCAAGGGTAATTAGAGCTCAAGCCGCAAAATATATATATTTTTTAAATACAAATATTGTATGATATCATTAAAAGAGTCTTCAGAGGTTTGTTCCGTTCACCCTGATAATGTGAACACCAAATATTATATTTTGTTTAGTTCATGAGAAAGTGACACTTCTTTAAATTTTTCTAATGTTTTTTGCTATTTTCTTTAAGAATTTTTGTAAAATTTTAAGTAATTTTAAAGAAATATCACGCAATTTTAAAAATATTTCATGAACTAAACCCCAACCTATAGTTATATTGATAATTTTGGCATTTTAATTTGAGTATTTTATTATATATTGTTGGAAGATGACAATTGTTAGAGCGTAAATGCATAGTATAGCAATACAAGGGTCATCACAACAAAATCTTATTGTGAACCTACACATATAATCACGTAAATCTTGTGTTATTCTTTCATTTATTTTCTTGATTTTTTAATCTCGTTTTTCTCAACAAAAATGTATAATATCACGTATTTTATAAAAATTATATATCATATTTTGCCAAAAATACATATAAAGTACAAGTTATAAAGTGCAATGTACACCTTTACAAAGCATTCCACATTATAAAAATTTTCATTTTTATTGCAAAATTAAAGAATTAAAGCACCACCATTGGCCGCCGCATATGAATGGGTAAAAAAATGACAGTAGAAGATTGAAGATAGTGGGTTTTTGCTGGAGGGGGGGGGGAGGATGGATTCGATGGATCATATGAATCAGCCCACTTGTATTGTCAATTGTTGTTTTTTCATACATTCTTGCCTTGTCTTTATCCACCACTCATAAACAAACCAAACCGCAGAATAAGAAAAGTATCTTCTCTATCTCCCCTTCTTCTCGTTTCCCCATTCTCTCTACAGGAGAGAGAAAAAGAGAGGCAGAGAGAGAGAGAGAGAGAGATACACAGTGTGTGTGTGAAGGGTCGGTTTGGTGCAAAAATGCGGGCTTTACCATTTGGTGGAGCTGGAGGGGTTGTCGCTGCTGCTTCTTCTTCTGCGTCATCTTCATCATCATCTTCTTCAGTTACTGTAAATGTCATCGCCCTCAATCTGGGCTTCAACAAGATCCAATTCCATTCTTCTCCCACTTTCAAGGCTTCTCTTCATGACCCTTCTCCTGCTTCTCTCACTCCTCTCTGCAGATCAGGTCCAATTTCGCCTCCTTTCTGTCTATTATACACACACATATATATAGATATGGATAGTATTATATTATATTATATTATATTATATGTATGTGTGTGTGTGTTAGAGATACCCAGATGCAAGATGTGAGCTTTTATCAATTTGAATTATGGGTTTCTGCATTAACAAGAGTTATCAGACATTCAGACTGATGGAATTAGATGGTTCTTTAGTTTTTTTTTTCAAGAACTGACTTTTGTGGGATATCATCCTGTGTGTATCAGTGTATGTGCTAGAGGAAAATTTATGGCAATGTTAAAGATAGTATTGATTAATGTTTCGATGGTAGGATGCAGAATTCTGTCATGTTGTAGAGAAACCTTTGTTCCTACCTGTCAATTAAGATCTTTTGTGTTCTAGCAATGTGCTGTGGAAAAGCCCTGGATTGTTTGATGAATTTCTAAAATATTACTTGTTTTTTGGAACATAGCTTTCTACAAGAACATCTAGCTTTTGATGTTGAAAAACAAAATGTTTTGTTCTTTTGACACCTCGTTTGAACTATGGATCTAAATGAAAGCCACTTGAGGGGTATCAGCATTGGTGTCAAGAAAGACGGTTCCAGGCTTTATTTTGGTTGGTTTTTGTGGGGTTCTTGTTTTTATACTGGTTTAAATCGAGATTATTTGGTTTGTGTTACAGGTCTTTGTAGGGCTAGTCAAATAGCTGAACTATTCCCGACTGTATCGCCTGAGATTGTCGTTAGAGAGGCCAGATTGGAGGACTGCTGGGAAGTAGCCGAGACTCATTGCAGCTCCTTCTTCCCAGAATACTCCTTCCCTCTCGATTTCGTGTTAAGAATCGACAGACTGATAGGAATGCTGTTTGGATTCTCCATACCTAATGGCTGCGATAGGACTTGTCTAGTTGCTGTCACCGGAAGCTCGGAGGAGGGTTCCTTTCTATTAGGAAGCGAAGAATTCAAGATTGGGGGAATCGATGGAAGATTGAGTCTCATCAATAAGGGTTATGTGGCTGGGATACTCACCGTGGACACTGTCGCCGATTTTCTCCCTCGAAAAGGACCATTGCGGCAAAGAAGGTGAGTTTAGACATACTCTTGTAGCCTCACTAGCCCGCCTAAACTTTTAGTTGCGACAAAACACATCTGTCAATTAACTTTTGTCTTCGCCTAAACTTTTAGTTGAGACAAAACACCTATCAGTTAACTATTGTCTTCGCCTAAACTTTTAGTTTAAACAAAACACATTTGTCAGTTAACTTTTGTCTTTGCCTAAACTTTTAGTCGAGACAAAACACATCTGTCAGTTAACTATTGTCTTCGCCTAAACTTTTAGTTGAGACAAAACACATCTGTTAGTTAACTTTTGTCTTCGCCTAAACTTTTAGTTGAAACAAAACACATCTGTCAGTTAACTATTGTCTTCCAAGCGTCGTTCTTTTCCTATATTTGTGTTTTCATCTACTAGTTACTTCAAGTGTTTTTACCCGTGGTTGAATGGTCATTTATAGAACTGGGATTGCATATATATCGAATGTTGCTGTCCGGGAGAGCTTTCGAAGGAAGGGGATAGCGAAGAAGCTCATCGCTAAAGCCGAGGCTAAGGCGAGAAGCTGGGGGTGTCGTGCCATCGCACTACATTGTGACATCAGCAACCCGGGAGCAACAAAACTGTACACAGGGCAAGGGTTCAAAATCATAAAAGTGGCAGAAGGAGCTAACTGGCCTCAACCCAGAATCTCTCCAGATGTTCAGTTCAGTTTCATGATGAAGCTTCTAAACAGTAAAAGGTAGATAGAATTAGGAAGATGAGTCACACATGTAAACATTAAGGAAAGAAATTTGTATAAAACTATAAATGTATAAAGTACAGGGGACAGGCTTCTTGGATGTACAAGACTATAACTAGTGTAGTCATTCCACTCCAAATTGAAATAATTGTAGTATTACTATATATTATCTATCATAGTTTATAGGGGAGCTATTCAAGAGTTTGAGTTTTTTTTAGGTGACGAGGAAAACTCACAGCCACGATCTAGGGATGTACATTGATTTCATCTTGTGACCTTAGTCGATAATGGACCATAAAGAGTAAATCAGCTTAAGTTGTCATAGTTAATCGGCTCAAATCAAGAATGCCAATAGACTGTTCCCATTGTGAATCAAACTTTAAATTTTATGATTACAAAGTCAACTTGTATCGAGAGATGGGAGGGTTTACTATTTTTTTTTTTAGTGATGAGGGAAACCGTAGTTACTATTCGAGAGTGTGCATTAAATAAATCTCACATTATAACCCTAGCCGGCAAATGACAAAGAAGTAAACCAGCTTAGGTTATCCATAGTTGACTGGGTGGGAGTCGAACTTGAAACTTTGTAGTTATTCCAAATCACAAGAAAGTAGTGAAAATTTGTTGCAAGAGACAGGTAGCAATGTGCAACTGGAAATGAATCATGCTATTAAGATTGCAGGTGTTGATTCACACAATTCACAACTCATACAGCAATATGAACCCTGGCTCAATATAATTTGTTATGAAGGTATGAAACAGATGAATTTGGATTTCATAAGCAGATACAATCCAAACATCCACATTGTCTGATGTATAAATGAGCTGTATTCTAGTATTTAAATTAAGAATGTTTCAGAACCAACCAAAATTGTAGCATTATATTTCAAGAAACAACTGTAATATATGTTGTCACATCCTTTGTTCCATTATTGGTGTTGTTATTTTGTGTGACAAATGATTGACCATGTTGCCCAGACTGCCATTACCAAAAGAACATTTCTGCGATTATCCTAGAAATATCGAAGATGCAGAAGCATACCAGCCATGAACAAATCTGCAGGAACTCGCTTACTCAAACTTGGATGAATTTAGATAGCGCAGAAATATCGAGTGCAGTAAATTCCTTCACGGCATTAAAAACAGCAAGCCCAAGCTTCACGGCATCATCATGACTAGCTGCCTGGGTGATTAAGCATTCGTATTAGTTTGACACTTTCTGTTAAAAATAAAAATTACATTTTTACGCCATCCCTCTGAAGTAAAGAACAAGTATACGGTATACCTCAATATTAAGAGGCAGAACAGGATCATGAAGTGAAAGTCTCAAGAGGAACCACCCACCATAACCGGAGACTCTAACCTACGGACAGCAAAATTCAGTGCACTCATCGCTATAATACTGTTTATGAACAAATGTTCTAGTTTCAAAAACGCAGTCTTGTTTATAAGAAATAAGGATCTTACCCCTTCATAGTTAACAGGGGGTTTCCGAAGCTTTGCATCCAAGTCGACAGCATTCTCCAATTTTTTAAGAACTGTCTCTCCATACTCTCTGAAAGGTCTGAAAGAATGAAATTTCAGCATTAAACTAGGGGAGAGTTTTCACCGATAGGATGTCTAGTTTAGTAGTATACCTTCCTTCAAGATCTGGATGGTTCTGATTAATTTTTAATCTCAGTTCAACAGAAAAAGCGGGTTCCTCAAGACCTTCCACCAAATCCGTCAAGACTTTGCTTCCACCACCTTCTCCAGATGCTCTAGCTGATGCAAGCTTATTCAGTAGCTTAACCTTAAAGTATGTTATTTGGTAGAAACTGTTAGCACTAGCAAGAATTACATATTTACATCTTTAGCCATTCCCACCAGAGAGAGAGAGAGAGAGAGAGCAGCCATGTAGGTAAACACTAGTTCAAATGAAGAGAATACCATGAGGTAAGCACCGTCATCAAGCCAGTGATTCTCCTTAAGAGCTCCATGGCCACTAGTTTCAATAGCCAAATGTGACTCCTCACCAATAGAGTTCTGTTAACATTATAGTAATTTTCAAAACCTCTCACCAGGAAATTATTTACACCATCTGAATGAGACAAAACGTAAGAAAACACCTACTTCATCCCAGGAGTATTGGACAAACGAGGTATATAAATGCTATAATCATTTCAACATCTTGTTAACTTTTTCACTTGTGTGTAAATTTAGTCATTCATTTGGTGTATATATGAAAGTTTTTGTAAACAAGTTCATACCAGCCGAATAGCTTCATCAATGACATTCTTGTAGCCTCTTTTGAATCTATGGTGTTTTCCTCCTGTGAAAGATCATCAAGATTGTTGAGCATAGGCTTAGGCTTTTACTTGAGATAAGTATGTTCATGCCTCAGTGAAGTTTTGGAATACAATTGCCATAATATAATTTTCCATCTCACGTTCTCACCTAGTTTCTTTTCAATAAATGTCGTCAGCCCATCTGAAGTCACACTATCAGTGACAATAGTGGTCCCGGGATGCTGGTAAAAATTCATGGGAGCAAATTCCGGTGAGATCCAGGTTGAAGTAATGATTACGATTTATGAGAGAGTATGGTCTAGAAGAGGAACTCACCTCCTCCAAGATAATAGCAGACATTAGAGCAATTAAACGATTTCTATTAAACTCTTGACCACGTGAATCCACAGCAGCAGATCTGACCAATACTAATGTCAGAAAAAATAAAGCTATCCATGTCCAATAAATTCAAAGATCAAAGATCATTATGCAATCACCTGTCAACATCGGTATCAAAGATGATACCCAGATCGGCCTTATTATCTAGGACAGTCTGAGTGATAGCTTTCATTGCTGTCTTATCCTCTGGGTTAGGAATGTGATTGGGGAACATACCTGATTGGAAAGATAAACTTTTATCAAATATAACCTACGAGACATCTGGATGAAAATCTCGAGTATATCTTACCATCTGGCTCTAAGAACTGACTTCCAGAAGTAATGGCACCCAATGGCTCAAGAACTTTACCCTGATAACCCAGTAAAACAATTATCCAACAGAGTCGTAAACATCTACTCCATGATTGTTTGAACAATAGAAATTTATTCATGAAAAACTTCCACACTAAAATATTGTTAGCCCTTTCTATTTCAGCAAGCCTCTTTTTTCAATACTTTCAACAAAATGTCCATTTCAGGAACAAATTAGAGAGAATGGAAAAGAAACATATCAGGCTGAAAGGTACAGTTGTGAATGAAACTTACACTCGTACAAGTATAATATGCCACTATTTGCTAAATTGAACTCTTTAGTTCTAGAATAGAAGATTTTCAAAGGGATGCAAGGGAAACAATATTATGTGATCGCAGCCTGGCATTTAACTTACAGTGAAAAACCCTCCGGCTCCATTTCCAGCATCAACAACTATATGGAATCCCTCCAGGGGCTTATCTGAGAAATTAAGAAAGAGGTTATCAACGATATTAACAAAGAAATGCAACTGCAATCATTACAAAAAATAAATATTGATGGCATGACAATTCTATAGTGATAACCAATATTTTTGTCTCTAAAAATGTCCGCATTTGTTATTTGCTTCAACCAAATATATGACAAAATAATTACCTATATTACCGGCAGCTCTTCGAACTGTTGCTACAAGATTCGATGCATAAACAGACATGTAATCCACTCTTTTTACAGATACCGAAGCTCTTGGTACAGTAATCTTTAAATCTTCATCGGTGAATGTTTTGTATACACTTGCAGCACGCTCCAAGATGTCCTTGATGTCCGCTTTTCCAAGACCCCCAGCATTTGTAAAGAATTTAAACCCATTTCTATTGTAGGGAAGATGACTTGCTGTTTATAGACCAGTTACACAATATGTAAGTAAAATACCCCATTGCTAGAAAACCAATTAACGATAATTACAAAAGTTATCTAGCAACAGAATAGATTTTATACTTACCAGTTATCATAATGGATCCATCAACTGGACACAAAGCTTCGTTATTTTCAGTAAGGGTGCTATTGAACATAGCCGGGGTTGAAGCTAATCTATAGAAGTTACAAAAAGAAAAATATATACTGTTAGAAAAGTCCATAAAACATGTATAGCTTGAACATAGTTCTCAACTAATCCAATATTATTTGCTACATGGAAAAAAAAAAATCTCATCACTGACCCATATTGGATGACATCCATCCCGGCTCGAGCAAGTCCACGAGAAACGGCATCCTGAAAAAGAGAGAATCCAATTATAAGTTTAATCAGAACAATAAGCAACTAATAAGTATCAAAAAGTAAAAGCTCATTATGGATTTATGGTCCTTCCACTTTAATAAAGCTCAATTTTGTTGCAGAACAGTTGTTTGGAGATAAGAAATTATCTCTAATCTCTTGTAAGAATAGGATCATTCTATAAAGCATGGATATTTAAACATTTGAAGATAAAAATATACAATGTCCCTACTCTAATAAGTGATAAGTGCATGCATTATTTAAAATTTCTCCGTAAAATATATTTTATTCAGGTAGAGGTCAAAACCTGCAACTTCTGTGCAGAAATTCGTGAATCATGCCCAATGGAAATCTTCAAAGATCTAGAGGCATCAAGTTTCTTTTTCTCCAGCAACCAAGCAGCAAAAGCTGCTCCTATTGCTTCTGCAACGGGCTCTGTGAGACTAACAGGTTCTCCCTCAACACCAGCAACAGCAACACCACGGATATCACTGCAACAATCCAGACATAGATATAAGGCTAATACTAGGAAAAGAATATCCTTGCTCCATAAGAATAAAGAAATTGCAAAAATTATATTCATATTACATGTTTTATAACCACCATTTCTCCTATCAATGGTCTCAACTTTCTTGATTCACCTGTTGTATACTTTTTGTAATCTTCGTACACGCCTTTTATTGTTTTTTTTTTTTTTTAAATACTTTGTGCCCGTGTGTGCATGCAGCCACGCATGCATGTCAGTATATTTATAACTAAAGTTATTACCTTTTTTTTTTTTTTTAAATGAAAGAATATATTCGGGTCAGGTACCTGCCATTCTGCAGCTTAAGAAAGTCACTTTTCTCAATAGATGGTACAGCTGTTCCAGATACTGCAGCTGCATCAAAAGGTCCATTCATGAGTATAACTAGTGATCAATGAAAATATCTTACAATGCAGAAATTATATTTTAACAATAATTATCATTTCCATCCTGGGAGAAATAAGGGGCATCCAGACTTTAAAGAGGAAAATAGGGATCGAGAGGCATATAAATAAAAACTAAGTACGCAAAGCATTTCAATTTTCAACAGTCCAGAAGCCTAAGGTTGCATACGATATCAACCTGAGTACTGAGAGTCTAGAACAGACCATTGCAAGTCACACTTCCTCGGTTAGAGTTTGACAATGGGCACAATAGCATGGTAGAGTTTCCATTCCATGCCAACTTCCCCACTAAGGGTGGAAGAAAGTTGCGCCTATTAAGGTTACAATAGCCCTGTTGGTATTGAGTGCTGAACTTTCTATTCTGCTGGCAGCGTTTTACTACCAGAGAATGCTGGACAACCTTCCCTGGTATTGCTGCATAAAGTTAAAGATTCAATCTTATCAGGTTATGGGTTGAAAGGGCTTGAATACTATGTTGCAGAATTTTGAAAGGAATATTTCTCGATTAGATGTTAATAGAATTCTTACTCCATCATAGTTGATTCTCTTGGTATAAATTGCACTCTATCCCCATTAAAGTCTCCCTATAGATTCTCATCAGCAACAGCGTGTCTCTTAGCAATTCTTTGCAGTTTTCTTTACCAAAATGTGTCAAAGATTCGACAACTAACTTATATGACGACTAGAAATTCCAAATAATTGTCTGATATTAGAATTATCTGTAGATATCATTCATCCAGCTCATTCCTAAACACCATGAAAACTAAAGCCCAAGTTGGTGGAACAATAATTTGCAATTAACCGAATAAAATCCCCATTCACAAATTGTGACTATCAGACACCTAATGATAACAGAAAAGAAATCAATTTAGGAGAAAAAAGGACAAAAAAGTACAGTAAATCCTATAAGTTTCAAGCAGGCTGCAAAGCCTCAAATTTGCTAACTTATTTCTTTAACAATCTGGTTCACACTATTAGCACCACAGAGCAATCAAATCAAATAACCAATTAAATCAGCCATGAAAACGGATGGAAAACCTTGAAGTATACCTAATACTACTAAAGATTTAGTCTTTGTTTCATTTTATCCTATTCAGCAAAATTAATTCAAACATGGTTATACAAATGCCATAGCATCACTTAGTAAAAACTACCTTAGAGACAAAAGTTAGAGGATTAAACTCTTTCCTTAACACGAAGCTTAAGTAAATTCAACAAATACGTACTGAGTAGATGAGTAGCAGTGCGCTAAATTGTAAGCGTCAAAAAGAAAAAGGAATTGCAGAAGATTTAAATGAATTTACCGGCCATTCTAGAGATACCCAAACGGCGAATTGTAGTTTCGGATGATAGAGTTAGCTCCTCTGCTTCTTCTTCCTTCTTTAACAACACAATAAATCGCCAAGTGTTATGTGTTGGTGGCGACTGGCGAGCATCAATTTTTCTTTTTTTTTTCTTCGGATAAACTCATAAACCGGCTATCTAACGTTACGCCACTTCATACTGCTAACCATGAAATGAATCCTAAATTTTTAGAAAAATTCTGGCCGGTTTAGTAATATAGTTATGGTCAATTTTAATTTATTTGATTATTATTAACTATTTCACTTTGTTAAATATACAAGTGCTTTATTAATTAATTTTTTTGTAACAGCTTATTGTTTTAAAATGTTAAAATTCAAAATGAATTTTTGAAAAAAGTTATTTTGCATATAATCCGCCAATACCTAATTTATCAAATAATTTTTTACGTCAACTAATGTTATTAATTAATTAAATTCACTAACTCAATTAACTAACAATTATTTACTAAACACTCATAATTTACAATAATATCACTATACAGAATAATTGGTGGCAGGAGCAACCCTCCCAAATTTTACTTTTAGTTATAGTAATAAAATAAATCGTAATTATTGTTCTTAAATTAAAAAAAAAAAAAAAAAAAAAAAAAAAAAAAAAAACTAATTTCATTCTTCCAAAAGTTGAACCCCCCTCACTTTGAGAGGTAATTCCCACACTGTCGCTGGTGAGACTCGATTCTTAGTCATTTTTTCAAAATTTCACCTCTATGACCAGTTGAGCTGCCTATGCGGGTAAAAGATTTAATTTAATGCTTACATGACAGTATTCTAATTCAGCTTTTATTACTCTCTTTTCAATTAATAAAATTAGACAATTGGTATGAATTTTACTCCTAAGGAGTCTACATATAATCATTTTTTATATTGGATAACACACACGGTAGAGTCTGCATCCAAAAGTTGATGACGCCAGTCAATACCCTCTCGATCAAATTTGTTATACATGATCTTTTTAGCGCGATTTATCTCTTCTGTGTAGTTACATCCTCATACCATTCAAAAAAAAAAAACTCATGAACAGTAAACTCCAAATATTAAGCGCTCTCTTTATATTTTTATTAAGTTGAACAATCTCACTATCTCAGTAGTGGATCAAGATTGTAGTCCATTAATGAGAAAATGGATGAGAGATTGAGGCCAAAACTAAATGAAGAATTTCCTAATAACAGATGAACTGCAAAAAGAATTCCGGTGAAGCATGGGGGGTACAGCAAAGAACAAATCCTACCAAGAAAAGCAAACCATAGCTGAGAATTGGTCTAAAAACAAATGAAATGAGACTCTGACCCAAACCTAATCATAATAATTCCAATAGACCTAAAACCAACACTACATTCATCACCTAAACCTCCACTTTCAAATCTGCTAAAATATGTTTCTACCCACCAAACAGTTCTGTACAAAGAACCAATGAAATATGGGACATAACCTTAAACCAAAAATAAAATATTAACTGCTGCTGAAGCCTGAAGTTACAGGGGGGAGAGTTGCAGAGAAGGGAAGGGAAAAAACTCCTCTTAGACTACGAAAACTGCTTCTCTGCTTTCGCCTTTCCCCTCCTCCCTCCCTCTTCACTTGATCTCGGGTGGAGCTACAGAAGAAACCGGGGATTGCTCGAGGCTGGGGACCGCCTTGGTTCTCATCTCGACGACCTTCTTGTGGGAGTTGGAGTGAAGAGACGGAACAAACGTAGGGCTGGCTGCCGGCCTGTACTCCGGGAACAGCCTGCCCGACTTGTAACGAACCCCACACGCGTTGCAGAGCGTTTTAGGCCCCATGGGACCCGCCCTCCACTGAGGCGTCTTCGTGATCTCACAATGCATACATTTCCTGACTGCCCCGCCCTGATCCTGATTCGGGGCGCCTGGATTAGGCAAGGCGGGCATGGAGAACTTGATCTTCTTTTTCTTCTTCTGCTCGCCCGCTCCTGCTGGTGGCCTCGGAACCTTCTTCGCAGGCGAATCCGCAAAGCTCTCCACCTGTGGGGTCTCGATAAGCTGCATCACCGGCCTGGGATTGAACGCCACCGGGCGGGGGCGCTTGCTGCGAGCACGCTGCGCCCCGCGCTGGCTCGGGCTCAGGGGCATCGCCTTTCCCCCCGAGCACGACGAATTACTGCTACTGCTGCTGCTGCTACTGCTCTCGAGAACCGAAATCGGGCTCGAAGCAGCCTGGAATTTCTTGTCCGATTCCGGCTTCGGGTTGAGTGGATAGTTCTCTTTGCCAAGAGTTAGCCCTCCATCCGAGAATGACTCTTCCACAAACGCTGAAAGCCATTCCAGCTGCACAATATCCTCGTACTGCAAAAACAACAAATGAAGAATCAGGTTGAAGATTCAAACAAACCAACTTAAATTCACTGCACTGTCAAAGATTCAAACGAACAGATTCTTGATTCAATGTCAAGACAAAAACTTGGCTAAATTCTCATGTGGTCCCCTAATCCCTCTAGCAAATTGTACAGCAAATAAGCCAATTTGAATTCAAACACGTTTAAAACTCGTAAACCCGTCAAGTTTCAAACCAAGCCAAGAAAACAATTAAACACAATCAAAATTTTCTTATTTCAATTATATTATTAAGTTGAGAAAATAGTACTATATTGTAACAGAATCAATAATCAATAATACTATTAATTAAAAAAAAAAAAAAAAAAAAAAACTTAATCTTGGCAGGACAAGACAACATGGGACCATAATAATTCAGGACCAATCATATGACGAAACATATCAGACTGGGTCCCGCCACAATTACTATAAACAGGTCACTAATTTCCAATTTCAATAACACGGCGGTAAGGTTATTTAATTATTTAAATAAAAATAATTCTTTAAAAAAAAAAAAAAAGGATTTTTGGGTTACCGGAACTGAGAGCTCGGCGGAGAGGTCAGAAGCGGAATGGCTGTGGGCGGCGGAGAAAATGGGGTCGGAATCCGGCAACGGCTCGTCCCAAATGCTGGGGAAATTGGCGCAGTCGCCGGAGCCGACACCGCCGCACTCATTCTCCGGGGGGAAGTCGATAAGGTCGTCAATGTGATCGAAGAAGCTGCCGCAGTCTATTTCATCGACGAAATTTGAATCCATACTTGAACCTACAAAACTTTAACCTGCAAAAAGATGCACAAAAACCATCAATTTTAAACCCAGAATTAATCTACTGTTTAAGAATTAAGACACAGTAAACAAAACTTTTAAAAATGGGAAATTCTTTAAGAATTGGATTTGCTAGCGTGCGCACGCAGCAATGCTGGGGGCCACCGCCAACCGCGGTAACGTATAATCGTCAAACGATGCTCGCCAGCGCAGAGGGGGCTGCGTGGCGCATTTTAGCATAGGAAAGGGTGGGAATTTCGGACAGGAAGAAGAAGAAAAGCAAAATCACGATTCCGGCACCGGGATTCTCGCGATTTTTTTTTCCTTAATCCTTAAAATAAGGGAAAACCGAGGCGGTGAGAATAAAACGGCGGCGACGGCACGCCACCGACACCATTCTCGTGAAGCTAACCGGGAAATTTCAGGTTTGAAGAATGTGCGGTGGGCACCGACACACGAAAACCAGAGAGACAACACGTGAAACTGTAAAAGTTTTCCGAGGAGATTAGAAGCCATTTTTGTTCCCCAAAACAATTCAAAACCCCAAAAACGCAAAAATTTGGTCCGTTTGAAAGTTTATGAAGATGATGAAAACCTCTGTCGAAACAGGGAGGGTCAAAATAGGTCAAAAATGCGTCTTCTTGTCCAAAATCAGTCTTAAAATTGCACCATAAACAAACTGCATGAAAGCAAGACTGAAGCTTTACCATCCAGAGAGCCAAAAAAGCTCAATTTTCAAACAAAAAAAGGCTAAGAAACCCCCATAATTCATTAATTCCCCATGAAAAAAACCCAGAAATTTCAAGAAATGAAACGCCTCTGTTCAACTTCAACACACAATTACATATATCCGAAACCCAGAACCCAAGAACAAACAACAACAACGTTAAACAGTATACCTTTGGGAAGAAAGAAGGGGGGATTTTGACTGGTTTGAGGAGACGAAAGAAAACAAGCGGTGTTGGAGATGAAGAAGGGAATAAGAGGGAGAGAAAGAGCTAAAAAGGGGAAGATGAGTGTGGGGTATGGTAGGTTGGGATCTCGCCTCACTCACTGCTAGCTGTCATTTAAGTCTTTCTTTAACATCTCTCTCTCTCTCTCTTCTCTCTTTCTCTCTCTCTCTCTCTCTAGTCTAATTACAGGCGGCCCCGCCGCTGGGCCCACCGCACCTCGCCACCCTCACCGCTGCCTGTAGATTTTCTTCCCTTTTTTCCTTTTCTGCTCCTCCGTCTTTCACATTTATTTACACCGTATATATTATATATTGTATTGTATTTATATCGATCTTTACGCGTATAATTAAATCTCTCTATACACGCAGGCGCACATGTACGCTCATGCATCGCCAAAGCAAAAGCGCGAATCTCTTGGCTTTTTCATCTTCTAGACTTCTACCCCATTTCTTTCCCCCTAAGGAAATCTATATATTAATCAAAATATTAATTCGCAATATTTTGTATCTGAATTTATTATTAACACGTAACCGAGAGCGTAAACACGTCATGTTATTCGAGACTTATTCAGACTATATACGTGATTTCGTGAACAATTGAACTTTATTTGATTATTTTTAAATTAAATACAACCTTGAACAACTCAAATAGTAATTACAAACGGAGCAATTTTTATTTTTATATGTGACGTAAATATGAAATTATAAATCCGTTGAATTCTTTTTAAAAAATCATTAAATTACTTTAATATATTTATCAAACTTACCTAAAATGGCAATTTTGATTTTTCGAGTCAAACTTATTCAAGTTGAGTTTGAACAAATTCAAATTTGACTAAAGTTGAACACATCTTTATTTTGAGCATAAGCCCTAAGAATCAATTACATGATTATAGAGTACATACACAAAGAAAAGTGTACAAGTTTATAAATTCTGAAATATTACAATTCTTTCAAAAAATAATTATGATTTTATAAAAAAGTTGTGAATAGTGTATTTAAATTTGTTGAACATTTAACTTTGTCAAGATAGTTAATATTTACTTCAAACACACATATACAAGAAAGAGTTTTAGTTTTCCTATTGGGAATTACTACATAGCATGACAAAAATGGCAGCATATTGGTCTTATTTGATAAAATACTTAGTTTATCAGTTAATTTTAACTTATTTGACCATTATTAAATATTTGACTTAGTTAAATAATCAATATAAGTGTTTGATTAAATAGATTTTTGTAACAATTTATTACTCCGAAATGTTAAAATTCAAAAAGCTACTCAAAGTAGCTTTTTGAGAAAGTCATTTGTATGTAATCAGCTAACAGCTAATTCACCAAACACTTTTTTACAATCAGCTAATGCTATCAACTAGTTAAACTCACTAACCAAATCAGCTAACAGTCATTCACCAAACACCCACATTGTCTCAAAAGTAGTGACTGAATAGGTAGAGCATAATTTTCTTATTCGAATACTATGAATTTAATTATTGTCAATATCTTCTCACACGAACCCGTCACATATGGTATTTCTTGTATGGTTGATTTCTATTATGTAGTTTGCAAATTATTAAAGAAGAATATGATTTACCATAGTTCACATATATTAGAATAGTAGTTGTAAGTTTCTCTCATTATTTAAAAAAGACATTATATTACTTCAAAAAAATATAATTGAGTGGGTGAAGCATGATCCTAGTATCAGAAAATCACAAGTTTAATTCTTATCAATATCTATCAATCGGGCATATTGCACAAAACCTTCTTAATGTAAACTAGAACAGTCAAATTAAGAATTGACATTTTACCCACAATGAATTTAATAATCAATCGGATAAAATCGGATAATACGAAATACAATAAGTTACAGGTTGTACGGAGTTTTCCCCGCGTTAGAATCTGTCGGTTTGAAAAAATCATATAAGAGTCAGTTACTTAAGATGGTAACGGCAGCTGTTTTCTGACAGACTTTTCTCTTTTTCTTACTTTTATTCACCCCCTCTTTGCGGCGTAAATTCTATCCGTTGTGGTAGACCGGACGTCTCTGAGGCGCGTTCGTTGCACTGCCCAATCACCTGACAGAGATGGTTGATTTGACGTTGTCTGATCCAATCATCCGGCGCGTTAGTGCGGCCCCGCGTGGGATCCAGACACGGTTTTGTGCATTATTATCGTTAATTCAAAACCTAATGGTCCGTTTGGTATGCCGCACTCCGTTAATCAAAGCAGTAATCGCGGTTCGTCCTGTCATACGTCTGTTTTGCTCATTTCGTCAAAAATCCATCTAATCTTTGTTTGTTTTTTTTTTTTTTTTTTAAATAAAAAATTCATCTAAACTATTATGACCAAATGGATATTTTGGGGATGACAAAGACTCACAGCTATTATCTGTGATAAATTATGCATGAATGGTAAATAATACTAGGAGATTCTTTCCAACGAACTAGAATCAAACTCAAGACTAGAGTTGTCGTCAAACTAGGTCAGCGGGCGCAAGGCCAACAACGGCCGTTATTTGACGGGACAAAATAATAAAACCCAACAATTTGGTGTGCCATAAAACTTAGAGCCTCCTTTGCCATTTTTTGCAGGGTGGGCTAAGCCCGTTTTGACGGCTCTACGTGTTACTTTCAAATACGATAGTCATGTGCCACTCACTTGTATAATTTGTATTTTTTGATTTTTCGATATAACATATCTTCTTTTTTTTTTTTTTTTTTTTTAAATTCATGTCGATATGGCATGTTAAAATGTATATATTGAGTCTCTAATTAAAATGACAACCAATATGTATATGTTTAAACAGTATTATTTGTATTTTGAAGTTGTAAATATTAATTTCCGACCTTCCTTATTAAAAATAAATAGTTATGCCATCAAATTATAAGGTACTTGGACTCTATATATTACTTTAATTATTAAAGTGACTAATAAAGGGGTTCTTTACTTCTTTTAAGGAAAAAAAAAAACGAATTATTTTCAAGTGGATTGGGACTAAAATCTTAAGTTACACCATATGTAAATTATCCAAACTAATTTGATATGTATCTCAAAAATTTATATTTTAATACTCTTATTGCTTCGTAAGGAAAATCAAAAACTTTTAGCATAGTGTTTCACACCCTTGAAAATGGTAATCAAAGTATGTTTCTTTGTTAGAATCAAAACTATGTATATTTTTTAATACATATTAGCAAGTCATTTTTAAACTCGATATTTTTCCAATTTTGGTCATACTAATCCACCTACTATTGCATCTTGGAGACTATCCAAAATTTAGCTAACAACTTATTAGTTGCTACCAATAAAAAGGTGAAGGAACCAAAAATTAATACACACAAAATCCTAACTTTTAGCTACTAGCTAGGGGCGATACAAACATTAAAATAGGGGAATTAGACCTATTCCATTAGGTACATTCATAATGAGGTGAATGCTTATTGATACTAAATGGTGAATCGTTATGACCTCTCGAGATTTGGTATCCGATCAAGTGATTGAAATTGTTTAAAGGGTCTTTAACCCGTTATTTTTGTAGATATTATGGTTGCTATCAAGTCTAGATTTATGTAGTATATTTCTATTTTTTCTTGTTTTATGCCCTTCTATTACCCGTGTGTACGTGTGGGGATGAACAGGTTTCTTTAAAATGATGCAGGTTTATCTCAAACTTATACATGCAGGTTTACGTGATGGTAAATAAGTTGACGATGAAATGGGAAAATGATGAAAAACTTCTAAGTAATTTAAGCTAGTTATACACCATTGCCATTTATTTCAACGTATATCCACACTGTGTTGTATTTCAACAACTATAATGAGTTAAATTTGGAATAGTACATGGTTATTGATCAAGTTAACTGTTCAACCAACTCGATTGGATTGCCCGCAATTATTTATTTTTCTTTGTTTATGTATGGTAATTTTAAAAACTTACTAGATAACTTAGGATCACATGGATGAGTCTAAAAAAGGGCAATATCACCATTATTTTGCTACATTTATTTGTATGATCATAGATTTTTTTAACTAGTCAACTATAATGTCAAGGATGATGTTTCTCAAATTTATGTGATACATTTTGGTTGACTTAAAAAAATATCGTAACTTTTTTTTATACGCAAATAAAATCAAACACATTATGGTAGTAATAATTTCTAAAAATATCTAAGCATTTTCTATCTTAAAACATCAATATCTCAAGATTCATGAACTTAATCGGCCAGCCTTATATAGCCAAGAAGTTATGTTCTTTATTGGTGTTTTCATCATTTAATTAATTAATTAATTTCTATATATAAAAAACATTTTGTATATATATATAGTATACATGGTAATATTTTGTTTGATATGGTAAGTTAAAATTTGTACGGAGTAATAATTGGGTCATGATAAATGTTCGAACACTTCGGCACATGCATTACAGTTACCATCCAAGAAAAAGCTACTCTGTATTATATGAATATAATAATAATAATAATAATAATAATAATAATAATAATACACTACTGGAAATTATGTAATTTCGAACCACCTGAAAATGATCTTAAATCAAGTCGAAAGACTTGTTTCGACCACTTTTGGTATCCGGAAAAACCTTTGTTGTTATTTTCGACCACTTTTTGGTATCAACTTAATTTAAAATCACTTTCAGGTGGTCGGAAATTTCATAATTTTCAGTAATAATAATAATAATAATAATAATAATAATAATAATAATAATAATTCAATTTTACTTTCAATAAGGATCATTAAGAAGTATATGCCACTAATATGGAATAAAAAAGGCACATTTGAAAAGTAAAAAAGCTAAAGAAATTGAACTTTACAGCTGAAAAGCTTAATTTAAGGACTAATTAATTATCAACACAAAATTTGCCCTCTCTTTAATTAACACACTCCTTTACACAAACTTTTATTTTAATACTTTTAATTATCATCTTTTTAACTATCTACTCAATATCACATATATACACAATTACACACTAACAACAACTTTACTATAATACGGAGTACCAAATTGAATGATATATTTTGTCTCTACTAAACATCTAAATTAATACATACGCTGGACATTCATATTT